TCTCCTCGATCGCCTACAGCAGCGCTGTCTCCACACTCTTTTCCCCACCCGAGTCAAACATTCCAAACCCCATTCAAGTTCCGAGGCTCTCAGCATGGCTGAGAGAGATGACGCGCTCGATTCGAAGGCCCTTCGAGACTTCATCTCCCTGGACAACTCCCATCTGTCCACGACAGATGAAAAAGGGTGCTCCTCCCCATGGCGGGCTCTCCTTCGAGTTGCAATTTAGCGCGCGGGTGAAGACGAACCGAAAGGCTGCGCGGGGCGGAACTTTCCGTCGTCTCGCAGCTAGGCCTCGGAGCGGTACCATCGGCTGTTTTGATGGCAGCTCTCGGAAGCAATGTGTACAGCATGGATGCGACAGGAGGCCTTCCTGCTTTACTGCGTCTGACATTGTAGCCGGCGCAGAATCCACCGCGTCGTTGAAATTTCCCACGCGCGGGGTGAATTATAAGCGGTCTTCGCCCTTGGATCGTTTCGAGAAGTTCGACGCTTGCCAACTATGGCCGGCAAGTGCATTCGCGCCGAGCCGCAGCGGGGCTGGGCGAGCATCGCGGCCGTCTGCCACCTCGATCTCGGCGCGCCTTCTCAACGCAGGTCTTCGGTTACACCGATGATCAACCAAGACGGCCCAACATATGAATCGGATAAGTGTGACAGCCATAATCAAAACTTTGAAATTGTGATTTAACACCCCGCGGAAGTCTGATGGCTGAGCCATCGACCCCTGGTGGCCACTGTCGCGGATGTCCTGGAGTGCTAGCGCAGAATCGACAGCGGTCACCGAAGCGACGTTGTTTCGGATCCGTCCAAAGCCAACGGGGAGCATGGACACCGCCCTTGCTACTAATATGTTCCTGGCCCCCTCTCTCACCGCCAGCGTTTGACTCGGGCGCAGCGCGGGCCTGGGCGACGCTGGCCGCCGCAGATTCGGCCTGCTTCTGAATTCGATCACAACCGACCTGCTTCCCAGCTTTTCAACGGGATCGCCTCCAATTTTGGGCGCCCGAATTATCCGGGGCAACTCGGGCCCGGGGTAACTCGGGTTTGGATTCCCGGAAAAGGAACCCGAGTTAGCCCTGACCCGAGTTATCCCTGATGATTCGGGGCTCTGGACGCCCGATTTATCCGGGGTAGCTCGGGCCCGGGGTAACTCGGGTTTGGATTCCCGAGAAACGAACCCGAATTATCCCTGACCCGAGTTACCCCTGATGATTCGGGGCTCTGGCAATTTGCCTCTCTTCAGGACACATTCGGGCGCCGGCTTTTTCGCGCTGCCTGCGACGCGGGAGATCGCGCCGAAACCCCTTGCGTTTGTTTCTAGAAGTGGCGGGCCAGATAACCTTTCCTAGCCGCTCCTTCGAAGGGCTCTCAGACGTATTATTTGAGCCAGTCGGGCCAAGTGTCGCCGATCGGTCTCCGAAGTTGCCCTTCCCCTCGCCCTTGCCTCTGCCTTCCTTGGGTTTGTCCTGCCGGCCCCGCGTCGCTGGCCAAGATTCCTGCGCCGGCGCAGCGCTTGGCTTCGCGGCCGGCTGGGCCGGCTGCGGAGCAGGAGCGGCATTGGGCCCCTCGCGGCTGAAGGGGCACCCTTGGTTCTGCGTTTGGCAATTGTCCCCCGCTAGTACAATTTCGCGCGTGACATCCTTTTTTCCACTCGGCCGTCGCTGACCTTGTCCGCGGGCTTCCCCACGGGGTTACTGGGTCTAGCCGGGTCAGCGGCGGTGCATCTATTCCCGCGGCCACCTCGTTGGTTGAGCGTCTTTGTCCGACAGTCGAGGCTGCGTGCACTCCGCCCCTCTCCCCATTCGTTTACTGAAATTGGCACAGCAAGCATGTTTCGACATCATTCCCAATATTTGCGACATTAAGTTCGTGGTGTGCCATCGCTGGTTGCATTATCGGAACGAGTTTCATCTGCTCGTGCAAGTGTTTATGGGTGGGCGTTGCCATCTCTGGGGGGGGGGGGGGGGGGGGGGGGGGGGGGGGGGGGGGGGGGCGCCTGGGCCCCCCGTGAAGTTCACGGCGAAAGACATCCATTCGCTGCAGAAATGGCACAGTTCTTCGCCGGGGAATTTCTGATCAATCGCGATCCTCAACAGGTCCCAACAAACCGTTCTCCTGCAATGTTCATTACGCACGGACAACCCACAAGACATTGCGCGCGTAATTCCGCGTCCCGTAACCAACCGCGAAACCTTATGAGCGTCGTGCTCCATCCGGCCGACGTGGGCGACGACATGGTTTCGTTATGCCGGCAGTTTGTTATTCTGTCCCATGTGGCAAAGTTTCTCAGCCAGGTCCGAAGCGATCATCATGTCAGGACGTTCAAACTTCCCCGGATCTCGCATGCCAACGAACACAGTGAACATAACATGCCAACAATCATGTTCTGTCATGTCACTTCATTCCGCGCGTAGCCAACTGGGACCGCAACGTGGACAGATGCGTGAACAGCATCCGCAAACAAGGCGGAAACACGGACCAGCAATGTTCCTTGCTTTTCCTGGGCATTGGTTTTCTGAGATTTATGTTGTGGGAGGGCATTTCGGTCCCTGGGCCCAGCAGCCTGTCTTGATCGAAAACTGGCCCGATGGCGAACAAAGGGGGCCATGACTTCTTCTCGACCTCCCACGCCTGACATTCAAATGTGGCGGCATTGCTTCATCAAATGTTCCCTCGGCTTCCTGTGCCACGGGGCAAGAAGTAGCCCCCGCCACACTTCGAATTAAACACGGAGTTGCTGCGGCGAGTCTTGCTCCATGCTGATGTCGCACGGTACTTTAGGTCACTTCGGCGCAAGGGTCTCTCCAGTGAGTGTCTCTTGTCGGAGACACCGCGACATGGTTTTTCCATTGACAACGAACATTCGGACCTGATATCACCTTCGTTAGTGATAGCTGAGAGGCCAAGTTTCATATCATCATCTCAATCCATTGGTTGGCCCAATGCCGAGACAGATTCTTGTTCTCGCGTGAGCGGCTCACCCATGAATGATATAGCACGAATTTTCGGGGTGGGTTGGCCTACCAAGTTGTCGACTGTAAGCTGCACGGCCGCAGCAGGATCTCCAGTCACGTCCATCTGTGCATTGGATGCGACCACTTCGCCTTCGGCACGTAATGTTGGTGCCGCGGCTGAGAAAACACCGGTGAACAAGATGCCCGGCAAATGTGGGATGTGAGGATGATGTTCTGTTGGTCGTGCTGCTCTTCAGGACAGGCCGTATCGGCATGGCTGTGACATCCGGCAACATGATGTGCATGGGAATTGTGAGCGCGGGGGGAAGGACGACGACGCGGCCACGACACAACATACTCCCCTTTTCACTGACACCAGGTCGGCCCACGGTGCCGACCAAGTATTTCGAATCCAAACACAGCTGCGGTATAATATCATACGGCAGCGAAGGGCGGCGGCAACGGCACAGAGACGGCTGGGGAATCTGCCAAACAACTTTCTAAAATATGCACCAAGGTGCTCAGGGTCGTGTTCGCAGCACTGCCCCCGCTGCTCTTATACCTGGCCCGCCTTTTTCACCGTTGCGGCTATCAAGGTGCTCTGCTGGGGTGGATTCTGAGACTCGCATGAGGTGCCAGCAGCGGGCGATGCAACCACAACAAAAAAATACGAGGGTGGAAAGGCGAACGCGCGAGGCGGGCATGTATCCAGTTTCCATAACCACCGTCTGGGCGTTGATCTTCGGGGGCCTCGGCGGGCGGTGGAGGTGGATCTGCGTGGGACCGAACACATCCATATCCACAGCCTGCCGAAGACACCGAAAATTGATCCCCCAGGCGGTGCTTATGGATGCAGTCGGGAACTTTTGCTTAGCGTGTCACCGCGGCGGCAACAGCGACACGCTAGTTATGTCTTGTAAACGGATAGCGCGTCGCCTCGCCCAGGGGCGGGAGACTCAGAAAGGCTCGGCACGTGGACGCTGGGAGAACCAGAAGTGTCGATTGCACGTAAGAGAGTGACCCTTCGCAGGAGTGACCTTGGGTGCGGGCCTGTTTGTGGCCCCCCGAGTGCCGAACGCGATGCGATAGTGGCGTCATGTGCGCCGGTGTTTGATTTCCCCTCGGTCCCCCCAAAAACGCGTACCACAGGTCACTCTTGCCTAGGGTCACTCTTTCGTGTAGCCGTAAGTGAGTAGCGTGATGCGCCGAAGCGTGGTGGGCCAGAACTGGCGGAGCGACGCGCTATCCAAAAGTTCCCGACGACAACCATAACCAACGACAGGGGATGGATCTTCGCGGGCCTCGGCCAGCGGTGGAGATTGACATGTCTGGCCCCTACCTGCCCCGATATGCGACGCGCAACCCGAGGCGCGTTGACACCGAACCCAACACATGCATTCAAAACGTCAACCTGGGGCGACACGTCCGGCACAACGCAGGCCAACCCGCTAAGTCAACACGCGAAGTGCGCAACCCGGACCCTGAGGAACACCCGAAACAAAAAACGACAAACCCATCAAGGAAGGCTGAACCCCTCCCCAACGAAAAGGGATTATTTCTTCAGCGGCCCGACTGCACGTGCTGCGTGTCAGCACGGGCGTACCAGGGCAGGTGAGCCGCCTCGACACTGTGCCCAAAGGCGGCCAGGCACGCAGACCTCCTGCGGCCCCTTCCCTACCTCAGGCCTCCAGCTCCCCCTCTCTTCGAGCCGCAATGGCCCTCTCGCACAGACACCATCACTTCCCTCCTCCCTCCTGCCCTCCTTCCCCTACTCTCCTGTTCCGCACATCCCCCCCCTACACTCCCTCCCCCCTCCCCTCGCCCGCCCCCTCCTCCGGGCACGCACTCTCTTCCCACCTGCTATCCCCCTGGCAAGGCGCAGGCATTCTTGCGTCCGCAGGCCGCTGCCAGGCGTTCAGCGCCGCCCTTCCTCCCCCCACTTTCCCCCCCCATCCTGCTCCTTCCTTCGTCCTCCCTCCTCCTCCCTCCCTCCTCCTCCAGCCCGCTGTCCTCGCGGGGGAGGGGGGTCTGGAGGAAGGGGGCCTCGCTCATCACCTCGCTGCCAGCCAGCAACAGCGCCTCCAACCGCCCCAGGACCTCGGCGAGGAGGAGGAGGAAAGGAGGAGAAGGAGGAGGAAATGAGGAGGAAAGGAGGAGGAGGAAGAGGAGGAGGAGGAGGAGGAGGAGCGAGCGTTATCAATCGGTCTCCCCGCCTAGGCCGCCTGCCGCACGGAGCCTCTCAAGCACGTGGTGGCGTCGTCCAGGTGGATGCTGGAAGAGTCGAAGTAACCGTCATAGCCGAAGCAATCGTCAAACTTGTCGTGATTGTAGGAGCTGTCCGAGCGAGCAGGCAAAGCGGCACGAGACCGCGCCGACGGCGTTGAAGAACAGGACGGGGGGGAGGAAGGCGACCACGAGGAGCGCGCCACCGAAAAAGAAGACGCACAACAAGCGCACCCGCACGGCGGGAAGGCGGAGAGGAGAAGAGAGGAACCGTACCGAGGGCATCGGTCAGGGTCGGTCGGCACGTAAGAGGTGAGGTTGTCGCGCTTAATCAGGATGGACGGGCCCTGGCCGAAAGGACGGACTACCCACCGCTAGGCAGCGCCATTGTACTCGGATACAGCACACGGCACGCCGTTGAGTTCAGGTTTCTTCACCAATCCCGTGACGCAGCATTTGCACCCCCCTGGAGAAAATAGTCAGGATCGCCATCAGGATCTGCATCTGGAGCTGCATGCTGACTACTTGCAGCAACATTCGGACCAACACGACGAACGAGAGAAACTGAAAGAGGGTCATGGAGTTCATCTCGCGATACTTCCCTTTCACCACCAGACGCTTCAGGAACAGCTCGACAATCGTGAGGAATTTCACGAGGACGCGGGCTTCCCATCGGAATTCTTGTTGCTTGCCGCCACGCCCTTGGTCATCAGCGTTAGCGTCATGTAGCCCTTGTTCAGGAAGTAGCTGCGCAGCGCCTTCAGGGGGAGGCCGCCCAGCGCCGTCAGGTGGATAATGATGTCCCACAGGAGGCTCGCGTGCGTGCCGAGCGGGATCAGCAGCGGCAGGAACTGCAGCAGCACCGTCGACGTGAGGCCGGAGCCCCGCAGGGGGGTGAAGTACAGCGGGCACGCCAGCAACATCCTCAGGTAGAGGCGGATGCGCAAGAAGAGCGCGACCAGCAGCGGCAAACCCCGCAGCAACACCACCACCACCATGAGGCAGAAACCCTGCAGGAGGCTAAAGAAGATCAAGTTCGCCAGCAGCATCGTCAGGTGGCGGAAGGAGTTCAGGGAGAGCATCAGCGGCGGGACCCTCAGCAGCACCATCGTCAGTAGAAGGGCCCAGAAAACCAGCAGGCTCCTCATCCCCATGCAGGCGAGACGGAGGACCAAGGAGTCCACCACCTTCATGAGATGGCCCCGACGTGTTAAGAAACAGGTCATACATCTCAGGAGCGCTGCGACCAACAACCCGCTCACGCCAAACCGCTGTCGCCAACGGCTGTGCAAAGACGGATTGTGGCAGCTGGGACAGGCGTCCGTGCTCAATGGCGACAGCATCCTCGGAGATCTCGCTCTGGTGGGAATGTCTGCAAGCGGCGCCAGAGCGGCAAGCTGCATGGAGGTCTCGTTGCAATCCGCGGCCCGACCCCCAGGACCTTCAGCTAAAAGAAGTCGAGAGCATCAGACAGAATGCGAGTCGGCGCAGCGTCTCGGTGATGTTCGGGAGCAGCATGGTGACCCACTGTCTCTAGGCCAGGGGCGCCGTAAGACGTCGAAGTATCTGCAGAGCTGAACGCCGAAGAAGCCGCAGAACTCGAGGCTGCTGCAATAGATGCTAAATTCGCTGCCGAACTCTGAGGCGCCGTGACAAACGATGCGGCCTTAGACGCCGGCGGCAGGCAATCCGAAGAGCGCTTGCCATCTGACTGGGGAGCATGGCCAGCTGGAGCAACGCGGAGCACCCGTGCAGATGCCGAAGCCGTCGTCAAACTCGAAGGTGCCGAGAAAGACGAGGCAGCCGGCGAAAGCGTTGAATTTGCCGAAGGGCTCACAGCCGAATGAGCCTTAGACCCCAACGCAGCTGCCGAAGTCGCCGAAAAAACACGGAGGTGCATTGACAGACGAAGCCATCGAAATTGCCGAAGAGCTCAAAGCCGTGGGAGCCGCTGCACCCGAAGCAGCTGCCGAAGACGCCGATGCCCCCGTCAAACACGAAGGCGCCGTGACAGTCGAAGCCGCCGCCGAAGGCGACGAAGCAACTGCAGAGCCCAACGCCGAAAGAGCCGCAGAGCTCGACGCTGCTGCAGAAAAAACTGAAGTTGCCGCCGATTTCAGAGGCGCCGCGATACACGAAGCGGTCTGGGATGCAGGCGGCAGCCAATCAGAGGAGTGCCTGCCGTCTGAATGGGGAGCAGGGATAGCAGGAGCAGCGCGGAGTTCCAGTTCCCGACCAGCCTCCACCACCCCTTGGACAGGAGCGGCCCGAGCACGATGCCGTTGCTCAGCGCCATCTTGATCGCCAACGTAATATTGGTCCACAACTGGGTCCCGTTGTCCAGCACCGTCCCGAACTCCAGGGCTGTCTCGATCCTCTGAGCGGTCCCGAAGATGATCCACGACAGGGCCAAAACCTCCCTCATCGCCAGCGCCCTGACCCAAGACAGCAGCAGCGAGAGCGCCGCCATCAGTATCAGGAAGCCAGCAAACAGCGTTAACTAGATCAGCAGAAGCGTCATCCCGAGGGGCTCCCTCAGCGTTCACGATAACTGTACCGGCATCGGCCCGCGCCACGCAATCAGCGCCGTGAGGGGCGTTACCAGGAACCTGAAGACCGCCGAACGTTGCCAACGACCTCCGTAAGTCAATCTCGGGAACCCGGGTCTGATCGTCGATGTCGGGGCCCCGCCAGGAGGGGAAGACACTAGATGGCGAGGGCCACCACGAACCCTGCGAGGCCAGTGCTATGGTGCATTGGTCCAGGGCCGCACAGGTAGCCGAACGAGACAATAACATGTTGATGGTGTCCTCCATCTGGTGCAGGCGCGCGACGATGGTCTTGTACTTGCCGTCACGGCCACCACTGCAACTGGACACCTTGTCGTTCGTGTCGTCCTGCTTGTCGGACGGGTCGTCGTGCAGAATGGCGTTGTCGCCCATGGGAGTCGCAGGGGAAGCCCCCGCAGCATCCGCATCGGTAGCGTCCCAGCCACCAGTAGCCACAGCGAGATTCTCGACTCAGTCAGCCCGGCACAGACTCGTCCGCCCCACGGGAATGAGCACCAGCCTCACGCCGAACAGGTAGAAGAGGATGCGATCGATGAGCCCGCTGAGCAGGGCCTACTGGGGCCTCCTGCTTGTGCAAGGCAGGCACTGTGAATATGCTTGGCGCGATCTGCCCGTTCCAAGGTCGAGCGCGCGAGCGCGTGGGAGCTCGGAGTGAGCTCGCAACGTCGCAAGGCACGATGAGCAGCCACCTTGCCAACGGCAGCTGGCGGGACGCCAGCAAGCAGGCCACCAACGTCCAATTGACGATGTAGCGCCTTGCCGCGAGCCATCCGCTTGACATCGTTGTAGTCGACGGAATCGACCTCCACGGACGACTTGTTCGGTGCACTGCGAGAAAACGTGACGTAGAACAGGTCCCGCTTCCGTCGGCGGGCTTGAGATACCGAAAGAGGTCCACCTTCAGCGAGCGCAACCACCCAGGAGCGGCAGCGAGGCATCCCACCTGCGGCGAATCCCACTACAAGGTGTGGAAGACATAGTAGCAGAGCAGCGATGAACAGCATCGGCACGGCGACGCCATGGCTGACTTCCCGCTCAGCGGCGGGCGACCGAGCACATGAAGGGGCCTCCCCGCGCGGCGCGGCCCTGAAGCTCTCAAGCCAAAATGGCTACCGAGGAGAAGGAGGAGGAGGAGGAGAACGACACAAATCCTGCAGACTCAGTGCTTACAGTCCGATCAACGTCAAAAGAGGGGGAAGGAAGGGGATGCTCCAGTCGCGACTTGCCAGTCTGCTGCATGCTTCACTGCAACGTCGGATCTCAGGGCGAGCCAAGCCCAAAGTGGGGGCCCACCGTCTCCTCCTCCTCCTCCTCCTCCTCCTCCTCCTCCTCCTCCTCCTCCTCCTCCTCCTCCTCCTCCTCCCCCTGGTCGACCGCACTGCCACCGCGGATCCTGAACCCCAGGCATCTGCGCAGAGGCACTCCGAAGCCACCCTGGTGCCTGCGCCCACCCGAGACCCGTGAGCACCCCTCCTCTCCCGCTCCCTCCACCTCCCCGCGTCTCGCCGCCCCCCCTCCCCCCCTCCGCTTGCACCCCCCCCCGCACCTCCAGTGCCCTCCCCCCCCCGCCCCTCTCTGATCATTCCTCCTCACTCTTCATCCTCTCCCTCCACCTCCTCACTTGTCCGCCAGGCTCGTCCCGTCTCCCCCCCTTCTCCCCCGCAGTCTCCCCCTCTTCCTCCTCCTCCTCCTCCTCCTCCTCCTCCACCGCCTCATCCTCCGCATCCCTTCATGCCCTTCTCCTCCTGCTAATCCCTCGTCCCTCCTCGCCCTACTTACAGTTCCATCTTCCCTGCCCCCACCCATCTTCCCATCACCTCCTCCTCCTTCCTTCTCCTCCTTTGTCCTCCTCCTCCGTACTCCTTACTCGCGCCTGCCTCCTCGCTCATCACCCTCCCTCCTCACCCGACTCCCTCCTGCTCCTCTTCCTCGTCCTCCCCTCTCCGACCACCTCATGGTCTTCCCCGCCGCCGCCGTCGTCGTCGTCGTTGTCTCCGTCGTCGCTCCCAGACCCCCGATGTCGTCGGTTGTTTATGACGTTGACCCCCAAAGGTCTTGACCCATTCCCCAGGACCGGTATCTCAACCTGAGTTGTTGTTTGACGGTCCCGAGGCCCAGTGAGGGCCCCCAGAAGCCGAAAATAGCTAAAAACCTTGCGTCGCGATCGTTTCGTGACACGAGGGGGTCTGGGTTGTCGTCGTCATCGCCACCGAAGTCCGCCGCGGGCGGCGTCGGCGTCAGCACCCGCGGCGTGGCCGCCGCCGCAGCCTGCAGCGGCCGGCCCGACCCCCGCGCGCCGGGCCCGCGCGCGTGCACCAGGTGCTCCACCCGCAGCTGCACCTCGCGGAGCGGCGCCGCGGGTCCGTTCTGCAGCTGCAGAAAGCAGGGGTGCGCGGAGGTCCTGTCCTCCCTGGGCGCTGCCATCTGCATCACCTTCGCCACGTTCGTGAGCTGATGAGAGGTCCAGCGGGGTGCCCCCCTGCGCGGGTCCAGACTGGACCTCCCCTCCCTGTGCGCTGCCAACTGTGCCACTGTCGCCACGCTCCTGAGCTCTTGGGAGGTGCAGCGGGGTAGCGCCTTACCCAGATCCGAACGGCGCTCGGGAGGACGGTCCTCGGCGGGCCCTGTCGGACGGTCTCTCGGCCGCGTCCTCCGCCTCGTCCCACTCCTGCTCCTCCTCCTCCTCCTCCTCCTCCTCCTCCTCCTCCTCTCCTCCTCTCCTCCTCCTCCTCCTCCTCCTCCTCCTCCCCCTCCCTCCTCCCCTCCCCCTCCCCCTCTTCCTCCTCCTCCTCCTCCTCCTCCTCCTCCTCCTCCTCCTCCTCCTGCTCCTGGTCCTGGTCCTGGTCCTGCTCTTCCTCCCCCTCCTCCTCCTCCTCCTCCTCCTCGGCGTCCTCGTCGTCGGCTTCAGGGTCTGCGGCACCAGCGCAAGGCCTTCACAGCAACTCCTCGCCTGCGCGGAGCGGCGCTCGGGCGAGGGAGGCGGTCCTCGGCCGGCCCCGGGGGACGGTCCCTCGGCGGCAGGCGAGCCCTCGGTAGGCCCTCTCGAGCTCGAGCTGCATCGCGCAGGGCAGAACAAACCAACCTCAGAATGGGCCCCCCCACAAGCCAAGCCGTTCAGCGAACGCAGCCGGAGAAGGAATCGAACAGGGCAGGGTTGTGCAGTAAACGCCCAGGGCCGCTGAGTAGATCGGGGATCTTCTGACCCGGGTCAATCCAGACAAGGGTCAGTCAGGCCTTCCAAGCTCCTGCAAGATCCTGCAAGATCCTTCGCCCAAGCCCAGGTCAATGCGAAGAATCCTGCAAGATCCGGCAGGATCCTGCACCCAAAGCCGGGTTAATGCGACCCTGGCCCTGCAGGATCCTGTAAGATCGGGCGCTCTGGCTGACCCCTTTTTGCATTGACCCCCGTCTTATGGCTCCCGAGGAGACGCCAGACATGGGGGTCCGGATGCTTGTTCCTCCCTTGACAGAGAGCTGAGGTGCGCGGAGGTGCGCGGAGGTGCGCGGAGCCTCGCGCGGGAGGCGGAGGCAAGAGGGACGAGGCGAGCGAAGGCCACGTGCCTCCCCTACCGCGAGGACCAGGAGGAGGAGGAGGAGGAGGGAGGGAGGGGGAGAGATGAGGAGGACCAGTGTCAACCCAAGACCCATCAACGATATTGCAATACCCCCCCCTCCCTCCAAGCTCCATCTTCGTAGGTCCCATACAAAGACTCCTTTCCACTAAAGGACGCGCCCCGTTGGAAGGCAACCATTTCAAAATCCAATTTGTTCAAAACCCCGTTCCTGGGATTTCAACGCCGCGAATCACCATTACTGTTGCGTCTGGGTGATGATGAACTGCGTTAGAACGCCACTCCTGGGGCTTTTAACCACGGAAATCAACGTGACTGTTTCGTCCACACATCCCGACATCGTGCCAAAACGCCATGTCTGGGACGTTCACCATGAGAAACCCTGACACGGCTGCAAACTCGTACCACGAATGTGCGCCGCGCTGTTGCGAGAACCACGTGTTGAAAAGGAGCCACCCTCCATCCGTATCCGTGAAGCTTCTGCAAACCTTTAAAACGAATGTGCGCGGCTCCACGGCGAGACCTACATTTTGAAAGCGGGCCGCTCCTGTATTCTTTAGATCTGTGCTCGGAGCTAAAAGAGGAGCCACATGTTGAAAATAGGCCGCCCTCCATCCGTGAAGCTCTCGGGAGCTTTTGATACAAACGTGCGCGGCGCTAATGTGTGAAACTGCGGCGAGACCCACGTATTGAAAGCGGACCGCCCAACATCTGTTGGCTCATGCATTTTCAAAGGCGAGTGCGCGCGGCGCCAGGGCGTGAACCACATGTTGGAACCAAGCCGCGCTTCATGCCTGGAACTCTGGAGAACCTTCGGGGCACATGTGCGCGAGGCAAAAGCGAGGACCACGCGTTGAAAACAGACCGCCCTCCACCCGTGAAGGTCCTGCAGATTCGAAGCTTCAGGATCAAACATGACGAAAAACACCCAAGGCGAAACGCCGGGCCCGCCCTTTCGACCGGCCTCGGGGTGCGACAGGGGAGAACTGATAAGGAAGAAGGGTGAAGGAGGAGAAGGAGGAAGAAACGAGGAACCCCGCCCGGCCGAGATGGCGCGGGGGGGTGGCGCTGCTCTGGCGGCCGGGTGGGGGATCGGGGCGGCGCGGCACGCGGTCCCGTATCCCTTCTCCTTTTCCTCCTTCTCTCCCACTTCATGTTTCGGGGGCGCGCAAACATGGATTAGCGATCCATGGATTAGGCGCGCGGTCGCCAAATCCATGGATCGGGGGAGGTGCCCTCCCCCAAATGCGGTCGGTGCCGCCTCGCGCGGCGGCGGCAATCCGCGATTTCCCATGGAAACGGGACCCGTCGCTAATCCACGCCCCCTTGATCCATGTTTGCGATCGCGTGAATATTCCTGCTGCTGTTCCTCCTGTTCCTGCTCCTGCTCCTGCTCCTGATCTTCCTCTTCCTTCTCGTTTTCCTCCTCCTCCACTGCTCCTGCTCCTGCTCCTGCACCTGCTCCTAAACCATCCTCCTCCTCCTCCTCCTCCTCCTCCTCCTCCTCCTCCTCTCCCTTCTCCTCCCCCTCCTCCTCCCTCTCCTGCTCCAGATCCTTTTCCTTTCCATGGTGATCCGCGGTGACGCGCCGACGGCGCCCACTCGGTCGGGCGCGGCACTGCAGCAGCACGCTTTCATCCCTAAGGATAGGGGGTTCGAAATGGGCGACAGGTAGCCAGCAGGACACGGGGGAAGAGGATCAGGAGGAGCAAGAGGAGGAGGAGGAGGAGGAGGAGGAGGAGGAGGAGGAGGAGGAGGAGGAGGAGGAGCAGGAGGAGGAGGAGGAGGAGGAGGAGGACGAGGAGGAGGAGGAGGAAGAGGAGGAGGAGGAAGAGGAGGAGGAGGAGGAGGAGGAAGAGGAGACAGACAGACATGGTCGTAGGATCCCTCGTCAGCTTGGAATCTAACTTGCCAGCTAATTCAGCAAAGCTCAAACCCTGAGGGGCGAAACCGTTTCGGGTGCCAACTTCGAGGGCGGGGAGCCGTGCGCGCGTCGCAGAAGCAGAACCTGAGTAGGAATCCACCCCTCCACCATGCCCCCCGCACGACGGAGCCCGAAGGCCAGAAACCGATTTACGAGCAGCCGAACGGAGGGGGAGCCCGCAGTCGTGGGCCGCCTCCTGACGCACCACTCCAGGAAGAGGCAGGTCCCTCCCTTCTGGCATTTGAACCTGATGGGGGGCTTCCGAAGGGGTTGGGGACTACCTCTCAAACCCCGGCCGCGCCTTCGTGGCGCCTGTCGGGGAAAAGCGATCGTCAACACCGCGATCAAATGACGGGACCCCGGCGGGAAGAAGCCAGCAGCCTGCAAAACCTTGAACCTCTCGCTCTGAGATCAATCGAAACTTGTCGGCCTAAGCAAAAAATGGTTACGGGCGTGGAGCCATCCTCAACCGAACTCCTCACTTTGAGCGTCGTCTGACCAGGACCACAATAGCTCACATCTCGTTGATCATCTCCGAGAGCTGACGATGGAGCTCACTGCTTTCATGTCTTTCACCGCCTCGCCGAGGAGGGCCGCAAGCGTGGCCCCGTGCGCGCGGGAGCGCTCCGCTGCATGGATAATGAAGCCCTAGTCCATTCCCGTCTTCGTCTGCGGCCGCTGGTCGCCCTTGCCCTTGCCCTTGTCCTTGCCCTTGCCCTTGCCCATGCCCTTGCCCGACTTCCACTCGTGCGCCTTCCAACGGAAGTGCGGAGCGGGAGCTGATAGCTGCTGGGGGGAGTGGGTCATGATCGTCTCCTTCTACCTGCTCGCGAAGCCCTCCGTCAAGATCGCCAGATCGCCGCGCACGGGGGGCCTCTGCTTGCGAGATCCACCTGCTCGCCTGGCTGCACCTTTTCGCGCAGCACCGTTGATTGCGCGTCGTGCGCCCTGCCCGTTTTCTCCTCAGACGCTGAGGAGCCGCCCTTCCGGACCTCGTGCGTCCTGGACGCGACGGCGGCCGCGTCCTGGATCTCGCGGGAATTCGCCAACGCGAGGCGCCCCATCGTCTCCACTGTCCCGCGAGGGCCCTTGTTGCTCCCGCCCCCCTCGCCCTCGGCCCGACCCTTCTTGCGGGGCGGCGGATCCACGTTCGTTGCCGAGTCCGCCGAGGTCGCCAACCCAGCGGGCCCTCCTCCAGGGCCGCATTGCCGCTGCCGTCGCCGCGCTGACTGAGGGAGGGGCCGCCGACGTAGCGCCGCTCGTGGTAGATCCTGAACCAGACGGCTACTGAGACGGTTCAAGTCAGCGCGCTCAACGCCGCGCAATCGACGCGCCAGGCTTTCAGGCGGCATTGCCCCATGAAGCTTCCGAGCCCCAACAGGAAGACCATGTCCCCGAAGCAGAGGGCGAGCGAGGTGGCGACGAGCAGCCGCCCGTGAGCTCAATGCCGCGCGACAAACCACGCGCTGGTTTCGGGGCGAAACCGCGCGACCAGCATTGCGGACATGATGTTTTGCTCGGAGATCGTTAAGAAGGTCACGTTTCACATGCGGAAGACGGCCACCCACCCCCCGCCATCCTCGGCCGCCCGCCCGCGCTTCCATTCCCGATGGGGCCTCAGGGGCAAGAGGTGCGGGAACTTCCCGTGGAGGCCGATGACTAGGAGGGAGTACTTGGACGCGAACCTGAGCCGATCAAACAACTGCGAAATCGCTTTTGGCGAAGTCGGGCGCCACCTCGGGGCGCGCGAACCCGCGAGGGTACTCCGAGAGCTTTCTCATGACAAGGTCCTCCGCCCCTAGGATATCCCAAGCCCCCTGGGGGGGGGAATCCCTGAATGCGACGGGCCCACGCGGGCGCATGCTCTGCCGGGCGACCCTGCAAATCAGGCCTGCATCTGTCCAGCTCCAGCGCTGGCAAACGGCCGAGCAGCGCGCGCAGGTGCCGTTGATGACTGCCAGAAAAACGCGCAACCTGCCGGTGCCAGCTCGAGCGCCGCATGGGTAACACTTCGGCGGTCGGGGCCAGCTTCCAGCGCTGCGAGACTCGAGCGTTCGACCACGCAGTCTCGTGCTCACCCTCGCGCAGCGCGCCTCGGCATTGCAGCGGCATGCGGCGCGGGCGCGACAAGTGAGAGTCCGGATCCTCGCGCTGAGTAGAGCCCCGACGATGCAGCCTCCTCGCGGCGAGCAACTTCAAGACCTGTGATCGGAAAATAAGGAGTGAGTCCGAAGTGGAACCGAGACCCCCCCTACCGGGAGATCGACTTCGGTTTCGGGTTCGCGTCGCGGGCGCCGTTCGCGCGCGCGGGCGAAGCGAAGCTGCGTGGGCGCGCGAGTGGAAATCCCCCTGTGGCCGGGCCGCGGCCGGACCAAATGTTTCTCCTGCCGCGGCCCGCTGCATCAGATTGTCAGCGCCAGAGCCGACATGAGCGCCCAAATAGAGGCCCTCGTCGGCGACCTTGATGGTGGCCCAGTCGGGCACAAGCTGCGTCAGGAGAACGTGGAGCTCCGCTTGGACCGAGTCGGGGAGCTCGGCCCAGTGCGGGACGATCACGCACTTCATCGCGTCGAAGTGCAAATTGCCGAATGCTGCAGCATGGCGGATGGCATCCGCCAGCGGCGTCAGCATTACGAGGCGAAGTAGACGCAGCCCAAGATCGTGAGCACATGCCGATGCAGTTCCCTCGCCTGGAGTGGGATGGGGAGCGCATATCGCGCGGGTAGCGATGCCCATCGCTGCGGCCCAAACCGCGCCCCATGTCGCGTGGGCGATGTGCCGCCGGTCGCGGGCGAGCTCGAAGATGCGAGCGTTGCCGGTCGCGGTCGCGCAGGGAAGTCCCGAGAGATACTCGAGCAGCTGGGCGCGTCCAGGTACCAGATGATGATGCACGACAAGCGCCCGATCGGCAGCGGCACGCAATTGCGAGGATATCGTCAGCCACCAAATCCCATCGTGCATCGGAGAGGTGACGCATGGGATCCTCGCCCCTTCGCCATGGTCATCTTCCTGCCCAAACAACGCTGCGCCCTGCCCGTTCCCATCGGGATCACGACGACAGGGGGGGGGGCCAGGGCGGGGGGCCGCCTTCATGGGAGGAAGGAACCCGTTGTTCTTCGGCAGCAAGAAATAGCGCTTGGGCAGGCCAGGCCCCGAGAGCAGCATCGCGTAAGGCACTTGGATTGATCGTCTCGCGCATCTCCTGGACCCGCGACGCGTCGCCGCAGTCTCCACATCAGAAGAGGCCGACGAAGAGGACGGGGGCGAACTTGGCGAGCCCGCAGACGCCGAAGAGGACGCGCGCGATGGCGCGCAAGGACCCTTTTACCGACGGGCCCACCAAGCCAAAGGTTTCGACATGGTCCAGCCGCGGAAAAAGACGTGCGACCCCGCCAGCGCGGGAGGTGCCACTGCTGGAATGAAAGATGGCATGGTCGTGTGGATGGCTGGCAGAGAAGCGCCGAAGCCCGACGGTGGCGCCGTGCACCTCATGCAGCGCAGCGACGTAGCCCTGCTTGAAATAAGGCATGAGTTGACCCAGTTTGGCCTGGCAACGCCGCCTGTCGATCATGAGGAGGCTGCCTGCGTTCCAGGAGATGGTATGCAGGCCGCGCTGGGAGACCTGCGCGCGCTGGATGCTACCCCCACGAAGTGCCTCGACCCTTGGCGAAGAAGTCGTGGAAGCTCTTGTCGACCGCCTCGCAGTCAATCCCTTTCTGCACAGCCAGCGCGCGATTCCATTCCACTTTGGTATCCATCGTCGCCGTGGCGCCCGATCTCGAGCTTGAGGCTGGGGGTGCCCTCGATGGTGATCCCCCCATTCTGCTTGCGCGGCCTGAAAGAGATGGTGGGGTAGAAGGGCTCGACGGTGCGCTGCGTACGTCGCGTTTGAATTTCTCGCCTGGCCTGGCGAGCTCTTCGATCGGCGAACAGCGTGGCCCTACAAGGTGCGCCATGCTCCCCCGGGAAGCTTGGGTCCGCCAGCCAGGGCAGTGGCTCTGGGGGCCACAACTCGACGATCGCCCGGGAGGCGGATGGTGAAGCGCTCGGCAGGGACGTCGCCGATGAGCGAGACATCGGTCCACTCGACGCCTGAATCCTGGAACAACTGCAAAAGTTCAGCTCGGATTTGTTGTGGTGCGACCAGCTCTGGGCATCCTGTGCTGGTGACGGCAGGATCAGGTCGACGGTCGGACTCTGCTTCGGAGGCCAGGTCAACGCCAGGGCACGGTTGGTGCTGTCGATGGCTTCTCGATGCCGCTCTTGCTCCACTTCCGAAGCAGCAAAGCGACGCTCGAGTTCGGCGATATCTGCTTCAGCAGCTCCCATGCACGTGTCCACCTGCTGCTGGTAGGCATTGGTCGTGGCTGCGACCGCGGCAGCCGTACTGGTGCGAAATTAAGAGGAAGCCGACTCGACCTGCTCTATGAGCTGTTGCCGCAGGGACTGAGTGAGAGCCTCGAGCGAGCCAGGTTCTGGTAGCGATCCAGGAGGCACGGCGCCTGCGGCAGCAGCTCCAGCGGGGCTAGCACCGGCAGCTGCGATGACTTGGGCAGAAGCCAGGGCAGGGGCACCAGTACCTCTTTGTGCTGCCTGTGACTGCCAAGGATCAGCACGTTGGAGGGACTTCCAGGGGGCTGGCGAAGCACATAACCTCTGTTGCTGGCAGTATTGACGCCACCACCACCTTCCTGCGATGGAAAGGTCGGTGCCAGGTCCAGTTGCTCGAGTATACCATCGAATCCGCCAGAGGCACGGAGAGGGGCTGTGGCACCACTTGGCCCAGAAAAGCCTTTGCAGAACGGAAGGGCCAACTCCAGTACGTCCCGGGGAACGCGGTGCGCCTGCACCCCGGGGTGCATCACGAAGGCGACCATACCCTCGTCTACGATCCCGGTCTTGTCGGGCAGCGCCGCGACGACGACGACGTTCTGGAAGTGGTGAATCGCAGTGGTCTGCCCGAGCGCGTCGAAGTGCCAGTCAATCCCCTCAACTGCGTGATGCACGGCGAACTTCGTCTTCACTGTTGGAACCCACGGCGTCGTCCGTGAGTTTGTGCCGATCAGGTTCAGCTCGTCGGCCAGGCATGGTCCCAGGACTGCTCCATCCACCGAGACGCCGAAGTGCACGGAGGAGGCGGGCTCGAAGCGCGGCTCGGCAAGCACGATATGGAAGGCCAGCAGCAGCAGCGCCAGGAGCGACAGCAGTGCGGCGGAATGAAAGCCCAAAGGCAGAAACGTGGGTGCCAGCTCACCCCTGCATGTGGCTGACGGGGAGAGGAGGAATATAAGTTCGAGCTTGAGGGGGGTAGGAAGGAGGGGCGCGAGTAGAAGAAGACACGGGGGCGCCTCCGAACGCTCTTCACAGCTCGGCCACGCCGTTGCCTTCCAGGGGCACGACGCGCGCAGGGTGAACGAGGACGACGAGCGACGACGAGCAGCAGCACCAGCAGGAAGCAGCTGCCCAAAGGTAGGCAAAAGACGCGCTGCCCGCAAGGGAGCGAAGAGGGGAGGAGCCCCCCCCGCTGCCCTGGGCAGCCGCACCGCGGGCAGCGCGGCGTTGGCGTGGAAGTCCCAGAGGCCCTCGAACGGCCTGGCCACCTGAGCGGCGGACCCCCGCGGGGGGCGGCCTGATAAAGGCAGGGGGAGGGGGGGGCGGCTGGGGGGGGCGATCGGCCGGGGAGGGTGGGCCGAGGGATGGTAGGGAGTAGGTGCTGCGGAGGGGGGGTGGGGGGGGCGGCGGGGGGGCGGGGCAGGAGGAGGGGAAGAAGGGGCTAGAGGCAATCAAGGGGAATGGGCATGAGAATGCGCGATCGCTAAACGATATTCGGGGAAATAAGGGGGAGGGTGGAGGTGGAGGGGAGGAGTGGAGGGAATGGGATGCGGAGGGGCGGAGTAGAAGAGGCGAGGGGTGGATGAGTGGGGGTGGAAGGATGAGGGAGGAGTTGGAGGGGGGGAGGGGAGGAATGGGGAGAGGGGCAGGCGAGGATGAGGGAGGAAGGGGAGGGGCAAGGGGGGATAAGAGGATGAGAGGGGGGTGAGCAAGCGAAGAAGGTCTCCAGAAGGGCGCTGTGGTCGACCGTGGAGGCCTCAAGAAGGCCCCTCCTCAGGTGGGGGGGAAGAAGCTCAAATTGAACACCGCGTGGCGAGGCGGCGGGAAGGAGGAGGCAGAGCACGAACGGGCGAGGGATAGCAGAGGAGGACAGGATGAGCGCAGGCTCGTCAGTCGAGCCATCATCAGTATCATCATATTCACCACCACCACCACCATGTTATTCTTAGTATTCAGTATCATCGTCATCACCACCTCAATATCATGTTCCTCCTCAGCATCATCATCAACAACACCATCAGCATCATCAGCAACATCATCAACACCAACATCATAATACAATGTGTAATATAAGTGTTCGGCTTCATATTCGTATGATTCGTCACCCTTGCCATCATCACAATCATCATGATGACAATCATCATGATGACCATCATCAGCATCATCATCGCCATCATAATCGTTATCACCACCATCATCAACAGGGTACGCATCAGCATCATCATCAGCATCACCATCATCAGCATCAGCATCATCATCATCATCATCAGCATCATCGTCGTCACCACCATCATCATCAGCATCACCATCATCATGAGCATCATCATCGTCGGCATCGCCATCGCCATCGCAATCGCCATCGCCATTACCATCACCATCGCCATCATCGCCATTATCATCTTCATCATCAACAGCATCGTCGTTGTCATCGTCATCGTCGTCTGTCGTCGTTCCTCCTCCTTCTCCTCCTCCTGCTCCTCCTCCCCCTCCTCCTCCTCCTACTGCTCCGCCTCCTCCTCTTCACTGTCTCGCTCATGCCATGGAGGAAGAAGAGGAGAAGGAGGGCACAGACGACGACGACGAGGGGCGGAGTAGGAGGAGCAGGAGGAGGAGGAGGAGGAGGAGGGCATAGGGAAGCACAGGAAAGGAAGGGGACAGGAGGACACAGAAGGAGCAGCAGCAGCACCAGGGGGGGGCACCAGCAGCACGAGCGGGAGCACGCAGGAAGGGCCGCCTCCCGCCGCAGGCCTTCGGGCGCGCCGGCCGTGAGGCCGGAGATGGCCTTGGTGAGCTCCTGTGGGGTTCAAGGGGCGGTCACGGCGGGCGGGGCGGCACGTGCGCGGACGGGTGCTCGGGGGGCGGGGAGGGGGCCGGCAGGGGAGGAGCGGGAGGAGGAGCGGGAAAGCGGGGGGGGAGAGAGGACAGGGAGGGAGAGGGGGAGGGGGGAGGGGGAGGAGAGAGGGGCCAAGAGAGAAAAAGGGGGACAAACCAGGTGCACTCGCGCCATGTGTGGCATCCCACCCATCCCTTCCCATTGCCCAGCGCTTGTCTCTATATCCGCCGACGGGGGCCTTAGCGGACCTGGAACCCCCAAAATGACCCAATTGTGTCATGCGCAATCGAAGGTGAGCTGCGTACTTTGAAGAGGGATGTTGCGAAGGAGCAGGAGGATGAGGAAGAGGAGGATACTGGGGACTACAGAGGACGAGGAGTAACAGCAGCAGCAGCAGCAGGAGCAGGAGTGGGAGAAGCGGAAGGAGCAGGAGGACAAGCAGAAGGCGGAGGACGGGAAAGGAGCGGGGCGACAACGATGAGGAGGCACTCGGATAAAGCGAAGTGTAGGCCCCGCTTGAGCGAGAGCGCGAGTTCTGAACGATGGGAGCAAGGCGGCGATCGGGGCCAACGCTGCAGCAGGACCACCATGCTGAGACACCGAACGCGCTCCGATTGAACAAACACCATAATTCAGTTTAAAAACAACATAGGAAATACCGAATTTCGGACAACAGCCAACAACTTTCCGAGGACAAACGCGGGAAATACGAGCTGTTTCGGGATTCTGTCAAAAGTAAAACGCGGAAGGGGGGCTGGCGGGCCACTTCCCGGCCAGATCTCTGGGGGCAAGGGGAGAGCAGCACTCACATCAAGCAAGGTGCGCTCGCGCCATATCTGACGTCCTACGGCAGGTTCGTGCCGTGACGACTTCGGCGCAGGTTTCTGAAACCGCGGGGATCGTTCAACCTTGAACGATCGGCCGTTTCGGAAACGTCAGATCGTGGAACCCGATTCTGGGTTGCCGATGGAGTGCGACGTGGAACGCTGGCGGCGGGCTCGCCGCCTGTCGATGCGACACGAGCCTACCGTACCCCTCCCTCCCATCCAGTACCATTGCGTTGAGCCCCGCTCCATTCGCACAATCGGGCGTCGACGCAGACATTGTTCCCGAAAGGGTATGCGCCGCGCAGCATAGCATACTGGTGGGGATTCTCTCAACACGTGACAGGTTCCAGAAACCCTGAACCCGAAATGCTGTCATCTCTTAGGGCGCATCTGGTCTTGCCACCACCTTCCGCCGGCCTTCCTCCGACTTCCGCCAGCGGAGGCGGCCTCGTCTTACTTCCGCCGCCTTCCACCGCCCTTCCGCCGAGGAAGAGATGACAACTCCTTCGATCCTCGAAGGCGAGAACCTCTCTGGAACACCTCACGTCTGCGGCGAAGAGAGGGGAGTAGCATCCCTGGTGTGCCATTGTTTAGAAAGTCCCAGTCGGTCGAAAGAAGTGGGTGGGGATATGAATCCGGAAGGCGCTGGAAGTAGATTGGTCTTCCATCCTCCCCCTGGCGAGGAGGGACGAGGGAATACATCGCTCGACTCTTGAAGCAGGAGGGCGCCCAAAGAAGGCTGGGAGCTGGGCATCTCAGAACACCTGCCCTCAACGACCGACGAGTAACAACGGAGTGAGGCAGGCGACAGGCCGGCGTCGGTGGGCAACGGGCGGAGCGGGAGGCGGCGGGGCGAGAGGGACAGAGGAGGGGAGCCCCCTGGGGAAGGGGCGCGGTGGGGGGCGGAGGGGGGCAGGAGCGCGGGAGGATCAGGGAGCGCGAGGATCAAGGATCAAGGACGCAGCAGGGGAAGGATCAAGGAGCGCGTGGCAGGGGGGCGAGCAAGGGCAGGATCAAGGAGCGCGAGGAGAAGCGGGCGCAGGGGAATAGGGAGGGGAGGGGACTGGGAGGTTGAGAAGATGAGGGGACGGGGAAGGGGGGGAAGGAGGAAAGAGGGAGGATGGATCACGGAAGGACAAAGAAGCCACCTCCTCCACCTCGTCGTAGACATGTTCCTCCTCCTCCTCCTCCTCCTCTTGCCTGCCTCCCTTCCAAACCTTTCCTTCTCATAATCTACATCTTGCCTGCCTGCCTGCTTGCCTCCTTCTCCTCTGTCTCCTAATCCTCCCATCCTCCTGCTCCTCCGCCCATTATCCTCACTGCATACTCCTACCCCTCTTCACAGGGGGGCCGAAAGTGCACGGCGTGCGCTGCGCCGTCTTGATTGATCGATGAGAGTTCCATCCAGCCCTTTCTCCCGCACCTCTTACTCCCCCTGCTCCCGCTCCTCATCCCTATCGTAGTTGTCCTCCCTTTCATCATATGCCTCGTATTCCTCATCGTACGCCTACGCCTATCCTGCGTCCTCCTCCGCGTCGCCGTCGTGCTCCTCCTCCTTCTTCTTTTCCCCACTACTACTTGGATATACTACTTGGCTGCTTGGGGGCAGGAAGGCGTCGCCGCGTTTATCTTCTTCGTCTTCTTCTTCTTCATCAGAGTGAGGGGGCTGAACCGAACGGTCATTCACTGTCCCTGGGTGCGTGGGTTGAAGTGGAATTCCGCGATGCGGATTCTTGTTGTTGATGTTGTGAGTGTTGCTGTTGGTGCTGTTGTTCTTGTTGTTCTGGTTGTTGTGGTTGTTGTGGTTGTGGTTGTTGTGGTTGTGGTTGTGGTCGTTGTTATTGTTGTTGTTGTGGTTGTGGTTGTGGTTGTGGTTGTTGTTGTTGATGTTGTTGTGGTTGTGGTTGTGGTTGTGGTTGTTGTTGTTGCTGCTGCTGTTGTTGTTGTTGTTGCTGTTGTTGTTAATGTTGTTGTTGTTGTTGTTGCTGCTGTTGTTGTTGTTGTTGGTGTTGTTGTTGTTGGTGTTGTTGTTGTTGTTGTTGTTTTTGTTGTTTGTTGTTTGTTGTTTGTTGTTTGTTGTTTGTTGTGTGTTGTTTGTTGTGTGTTGTGTGTTGTTTGTTGTTTGTTGTTTGTTGTTTGTTGTTTGTTGTTTGTTGTTTGTTGTTTGCTGCTTGTTGTTTATTGTTTGTTGTTGTCGTCCTCCCACCCGCGACCCGCCCCGCGACCAACCCGCGACCCACCCCGCGACCCACCCGCGACCCACCCCGCGATCCACCCGCGACACATCCCGCGACCCGCCCGCGCTCCACCCCGACACCCCCCCAGCGACCCACCCGCGACCCGCCGGCGACCCACCCGCGACCCACCCGCGACCCACCCCGCGACCCACCCGCGATCCACCCGCGACCTACCCGCGACCCACCGCGACCCACCCGCGACCCACCCGCGACGCACCCCGCGATCCACCCAAGATTTTCGGCGCCTGCGGCGGGCTTCTTTTGCAGTCGTTCCAGGTGGAGAACCTGCGACACACCCGCGACCAAAACCGCGTTCAGTGTACAAATCCAAATTTTCGGCGCCTGCGGTGGGCTGTTTTTGAATTCCTTCCAGGTGGAGGTGGAGAGCCCGCGACCCACCCGCGATCTAACTACGTTCACTGAACAAGCCAAGACTTCGGCGCCTGCGGCGGGCTTCTTCTTCAGAGCCTCGCAGACTGCGGACGTCCCCGCCGCCCCCTCACTCTAATCCGCAACTGCGGGGTGCTACGTATTATCATTCTTCTTCTTCGTATTCTTTCCGGCCCGGGGGGGGGCCCTGTGGGGCCCAGCCGGGGGGCCCACGCGCACGTGTGGGGCCCGGGGGGGGGCCCTGCGGAGCCGGGCCAGGGGGGCCCACGCGCACGTGTGGGGGCCCAGTGGGAGGCGCCCCGGGGCCCCACCGCGGGGGGCCCGCGGCGTCGCGGGGGCTCCTTGCCGGTTGGTTCACGGGTTGCGCGGGTCGTGTGGGGGGCTTGGGGCCCCCTCGTGGGGGGTCGGCGGCGTCGCGGCGGCCCGTCGCCGCAGCGCCCAAGGGTGGCGTTGGTTTTTGCCTCGCGGCAACGCAGTGCTGAAAGATAAGAAATCAGCGCCTGCGGTGGGCTTCTTCGTTGCATGTTCCGTGCCACATTTTCCAATCACCCTTCCGGGGGGCCCACGGCTTCGTGTGGGCCCGTCGCCGCGGCGCCCACGGGTGGCGCCGGTCTTGGTTGCGCAGAAACGCAGCAACGCTGAAATATTGAAAGGATCGGCGCCTGTGGCAGGCTTCTTCATTGAATGCTTCGATTGACTGCTTTAGGTAACCCGTCCGGGACGGCACTCGGCGTCATGGGGGCCCATTGGTGGTGGCGCTGGTCCGGGATGCGCAGGAAAGCCTGCTCAAGGTAAAACTTCCGCGCCTGCTGCGGTCTTCTCCTTTGTTCAGTTCACTGCGCGTCGCGCCGAGACCACAGCAACCCTCACTCCTATCAACGTTTGCGGGGCGTGTGGTCCTCTTCCTCCTCCTTCTCCTCCTCCGCCTCCTCCTGATTCTCTTCCTACGCCTCCTCGTGCACCGTCCCTCTTCCTTGAAAAGAGCTCCTGCCTGTCAAACTACCACCCGTGTCCGCATCTTTGGCCGGGCATTTCGATTGAGACGCCCTTGCGACTTACAATCATGAAAACTTGACTATCACCGCAGCGACGTACAAGACTGGAAGGCCAGTGGTCTCCAAAGTGGGGCTCTCGCACTAGCGCCGCGCACGTGACTGGCAAGAACTTGCAACCCAGACAAAGACGGAGGGCGTCGCCTTGTCTAAAATGGGACCTCGCATTGGTGCCTCGCACATTCCTGATCAAATCTTCTACTGTTACAATAATTGAACGCAGCTCCTTTTCAAAGCGGGTGTCTCGCCGTAGCGCCGCGCACACTATTCTGAAGAGCTTCCAACGGTTCTGAGGATGGAGGACTGCCCTTTTTCAAACAACAAAAGGCTCTGAACCCAAGCGCAGCGCACGCTCGTCCAAAACGCTTGTAACAGCTACGGAGACTGAGTCCAGCTTCTCTTGGTAATAAGGGAGTCTCGCCTCAACGCCGCGCAAGCTCCTCTTGTTGAACGCTTGGTATAATTGACAGGGCTGGCTGCCGCTCTACGGACTCATACCACACTGCTTCCTCCCAGGGTGTCCCACGTGTCTCTCTCTCGAGCCGTCGGACGGGCTCGCCGACGAGGTCAGCCGCCCCGTGCCCGCCCGTGGGCGCCTCGTGGGCGCCCCGTGCCCTGGGTGGGGCCGCTGAGACTTCGCCTCGCTGGCGCCCGGTGCCCGCCCGTGCCTCGTGGGCGCTCGCGGGAGCCCGGTGCCCTGGGTGGGTCCGCCGAGGTGTCGCTCGGTGACCGCCGGGGGGCGCCTCGTGGGCCCTCGCGGGTGGGAGGCACGGCTTACTCGGCCTAGCTCACACAGCATAGCTCCATACCACACAGTTTGCGCAAGATGGCCCATACCACACAGGTCCCAGCGCGCATCTTCCACACCATAGCTCACACCGCATGGCTCACACAACGTAGCCAACACCACACAGCTCACACAACATAGCTAACAACAAATACTCTACCCCGGATAGCTTGCACAACATGGCTAATACCACATGGGTTGCTTCGCATACCTTTCAACTCCACATCTGTTTGACTATGGGGATCTCGCTAGGGACTTCTCCAAACCAATGGCCTCAGACTTGAACATATGTGACAGATACACGAGCGGTTAGCGATGCATTTGGCAAGATGGGACTCTTGGCTCAGATCTCCAGAATGTGAGGTCAATGAGTGTAAACTTGTGCACCTGTTACACGGGTGGGGGGCTGTTCCTTCTGACTTGATTTCGGTGAACTTTCCGATCCAGCCCTTTCGCGGACCCCATATCTCGCTAGAGAAGGTACCAGATGAGTGTTCAACATGGGGGCTCCCACATGAATGACAAGCACATAGGGCGCTCGTCATTGGATGGGGCGCTTCCTGAAGTGAGAAGGAAGGCTTGTAGGGAGCTGTGGGGAGGGGACGGGGGACGGGAGGGTGCAGTGCCGCATCGCTGATGCATCCCGGGATAACTCTGGTCCTCCTCCTCCTGCTGTGGCGGCGGCTGAGTTTGCTGCCTATTGTATGACTGTGCAGTGTGGCTTCGATGAAAACGTCAGTTTCGGTGACTGTTTAAACATTGTGCGCCAAGCCCATGAACCGATCCAGGCCAGGGTCTCGCATCGCCGCCCATACGCTGGATTCATGCTCAAAGCACTAGCGGCCAGGACGGGCGAGGTGGTCAAAGTCAAGCCGCATGTCGCTGACAGCCCTGACTTGATTGCCGAGCAAAGAGTGCACAACTTCGGAAACAAGCAGGCTGATGAAGTGGCGAAGGCAGCAGCACTCCGCCACCCTCAGCCCAGCCCAAACGAGGTAGAAATAGTTGCCCGATGTGAACGTGTGTCTCGCACCATTGCTAAGCTATATGCCCAAAGTATGCCTCTTTGGCTCAGGTTGGATTTAACCGATCTCCCCAGGACCAACCCCCCGTCTGCTCCGAGACCTTCTCCTCCTCCGCCCCCCATGACTGGCATTGGGAAGGCAGGTTTTGGATTTGCTGTGTTTTCGAGCCGCCCGTGGTTCTTGGAGTCCCCCCCCCAGGGCGCTGCAAGGGCTCCATGTCCATCAAAGGTGTCACTGGAGAGTCGCTCCGATTGCTCGAGCACCGCCCAACGACTTTGGAGTCGGAACGCGGTGAAGGTTTGATCAAAGTGTGCGCCAGATGCCATTCTTATACAAAGGCCGCCGTCATGCTTGGTTTTGCACCCTCTAGGGCCGGCATCCCAAGACTGGCGTGTCGCTTGCATCCAGTCCGCTGGGCGATGACGCGTAGTCTGGGACGGCCTTTTTGCCTTTCAGAGTCTTCCAGCTGGCAGCCCAGAGCTGCAGTTTGGGAGGACTGGTGTGTACAGTGTGGTTCTGGTGGTCGATGTTTGAAATAACCCCCCGCTGGGGTTGTGGGCATATGAATCCGTACTGGATGTTGCCATCCCCCCCAAGAGGGTCGCCAGTGGGGGTTGATCAAACGTCTCCTTCGTGCGGTTCACTGCCTCCAGGGAGGGCAAACAACTAAAAAATCAGCAGTGCAGCTAGGTATACGTAAAACGGGGGTGCGCGAAAGGAGGAAGAGGCCAGGGACGACGAGAAAGGAAGGCGAGAGAGAAGAGCGAGAACGGGGCCACCAACACCCCCGAGGCACCCCCCAAACCCAAAGTGTTCTGGAAGAGTCCTCCTCGTTCTTCTCATCCTTCTCCTCCTTCTCCTTCTCGTCCTTCACCTCCTTCTCCTCCTCCTCCTCCTCCTCCTCCTCCTCCAGGGGGATTCGCCTTCTCCTCGTCCTCCAAGATTCGGGAGAGGCCCCGGGCCCAAACGGGTGGACGCGGAGGAAAGCCGTCCTTCATGTACCTGTGCAGCTGCAGGTCCGTGGGCAGATTGTTCCGGTCCAGGAGGCCCTTGACCTGCTGGAGGGGGGAAGGAGGAGAGAGAAGGGGAAGGATCGATGATCGAAGATCGAAGGTGGAACTGTCTGGGCGTGCCGCGACCTTTTCCCGAAGCCTGTGGGGGGGGGGGCTTCTCGTCTCCATGGCCAGAATGCTGCAGAAAGTCCAGCCGAAACGCACTCCCAGACAGGTCTGCAGGGGAAGAAGATTTCGACGGCTTCCGAAGGTCTGGGAAGTCCAAGGGGAGGGGGAGGAGTCCACGGGGGGGGGGGGGCGGAGGAAGAGGGGGAGGAGGGGCAATGAGGAGGAATGAGGATGATGGAGCGGAGGGAAATCCTTCGCGCCAAACATCGTTGAGTGTCCAAAGCAAAGAGGACACTCACATGCAACCCTCTCGGGCTGGCGTGAACTCAAAGAAACGTTTAGGGGAGATAACATACAAGTATTATATCATTGTAGGAGATGTAAAACATGAAACAAGGGGGTAGCGTTGGGGCGGAGTGCGGATGGGGGGGCAGGCGGAAGCGATTCAAGTACCTTCTTCTCGGCTTGCTGTATTTCTTATTATGTTCCTATTCCCTCTCTTTTTCATCTTCCGCCCCCTCTCCTCCCCATTATTTTGCCAATAGTTCCACTCCTCCTCTTCAGTTTCCTATTCCTGTTGCTCCCCCTCGTCTGCCTCCTCCTCTTCTGTCCGCGCCGCGGCAGCCGCGCGGCTCTCGCGCGCGGCCCCCGGCGCGGGGGCGGCGCCAGCGCGCTGCGCGCCCCGCCCGGGAGGGCGCCGCGCGCCCGCGAAAGGGGGGAGAGGGGGGAAACAAACGATGAGGAGGAACAGGAGCAGAGGACGATGAGGGAGGTGAAGACCGCGTACCTGAGAGGAGGAGGGGAATGCACATGTAGAGGGGGGGCGGCTGAGAAGTAGAGAAGTAGAGGGCATTGACGGGGAGCGGTAAGATGAGAGAGACTCGCCAAGGGAGAAGGATAATGGCGATGAAAAAGAGGAGGGGGAGGAGGAATGAGGAAGAGGGAGGTCTCTGCTGTCGTCGCAGGTGGGCCTCCGGCGCTCTTCTGAATTTCAGTCTCTGGCCATGAGGTCTCGAAATACAGCTTGAGGAAGCATCGAACGGGAGCCCTTGTCGTCGCGGCTGGGCCTCCACCAACTTGACTGAATTACAAGAAAGTCTCGAGCGAGAGCGCCACTCTTGAGTTCGGGGGCCTCTCTGGCAAGGGCCTCTGCGAATACATCTTGAGGACGTATCAAACGGGAGCCCTTGTGATCGTAGTTGGGCCTCCACCAATTTTAATGAAACGCAGTAAACTCTCGAGCGATAGCGCCGTTCCTGACTTCGGTGGCCTTCCTGACAAGGGGCCCTCGGAGTGAATCGTGAGGAAGTATCGAGCACGAGCCCTCGTCGTCGTGGCTGGGCGGGACTGAATTGCGAGGACGGACGTCTCGAGCGAGATCGCCGTTCCTGAGTTCGGGGGCCTCTCTGGCCAGGGTGTCTCGGGGTAAATTGTGAGGAAGTATCGAGCGGGAGCCGTTGTCGTTGTAGCCGGGACTCCAAGGGCACACATTTACACTCAAGCCAACGCTCGCGAGGGAGCCTCGTTTTCAGAGAGCACGTAGCCAGCGTCGAGGCGACAGCGCGCGGAACCGTTTGCGGAGATCAGCAGTAATCATTCTCTAGAAATGAATATTCAACAATCCGCACCGCGGAAGCCCACTTCAGTCACGCATCTAGGAACAGTGAACGACCGTTCGGCCCCCTCGCTCTGACGAGGGCGGAAGGAGAAAGGGAAGGGAGGAGGGAGACCGACAAAGACGGGGATGAGGACGGAGGGGAAAGAGAGAGAGAGAGAGACGAGGGAACCCCCCCTCCGCCGAAGACCGCCGACGGCCGCCAGCGGCCCCCGAAGACCTTCGAACGAAGGCGCGCCCGACCCATACCCCCGACGCCATGATTTCTGACAAAAGGTCGACCCCCAGAGGCCCTGACCCATTCCCCCGCACCAGCTTGTCACCCTGACTAATTGTTGACGGTCCCGAGGCCCGGTAAGGGTCCCAAGAGGCCGAACATAGCGAAAAGTATTCTGTCGTGGTGTCTACGACGCGAGGGGGCCTGGGGAGCCGCCGAGATCGCTGCGGCCAGCGCCAGGGAGGGGGCTAGAAGCCTCCAAAATGGAATCCGCGTAGAGGGGGTCGAAGGATCATTTCGCATCGCATCGACGATGCATCACCGATGCATCGGCGATGTATCGGCGACGTCGACGTGGAGAGAATCAGGCTCCACATCGAACCGCATCCCCGACGCATCGGCGATGCAGAGCGATCTTTCAACACCATCTACGGCAGGTTCGTGTCGTGTCGACCCTGGCGTTGGTTTCTGACACCGCGGGGCTCGTTCATCCTTGAGCGATCGAGCGTTTCCGAAACGTCAGCTCGTTTAGCATCGACCGATTCTGGGTCACCCGCGGCGTTCAACGTTGACTGCCGGCGGCGGGATCGCCGCGGGTCGAAACGACACGAACATACCGCACTCGGACCCCACTTGGGAGGCTACAGAGGGGCGGGGTGCACGGCCCGGCCTGCCGGGCGGCGTGCCGCGTGTAATCCTGCAGCGCCTGCATCTGGCGGGCGGGCGGGCGGCGAGGAGGCGGGGGGGGGGGGGGAAGCGGGGGGCTCGAGCGGCGGCGGGGAGAGAGCAGGGAAGGGGGGACGGAAAGGGGAGGAGGCGGGGGAGGGGGAGGAGGAGGGAGGGGATGGGAGGAGAGATGGGGAGAGAGGGGGGGCGAGGAGCAGAAGAAGGCGCAGGAGGGGAACCCAGCTCTATACTGCCCGCCTCCTCCTCCTCTTGCTCTCACTCCCGCATCCTCATCTCCCCTCCTTCCTCCACCTCCTCCTCCGCCTAGTCCACATCCTTCCCGTCCATATCCATATATTCCTCCTCCTCCTCCTCCTCCTCCTCCTCCTCCTCCTCCTCCAACTCCTTTTCATCCTGCGCACTCTTTACCCACTTGCGCCTTGCTCCTCAGATTCCTCCTCCTCCTCCTCCTCCTCCTCCTCCTTCTCCTCACCCTCATGCTAATGGTGCCCGGCTTCCGTCGGTGGGAAGCGGTGGTGGGCGCCCCTCCGCGGGCCTAGGGCCTAGGATGGCGGCCCGCTCTTGCTTAAGGCCGCCCTGAACAAAAACAACACAACTGCCGGATGATCTCGTAGCTGGGCCTTGCCGTCGTTGGGCGATAAAATCTAAGCATGCTCGCCGCCCCTGGCAAGGTCCATCCTGTGCCCAAGAACGGTGTGTGCGGCCCCCTGGCTTCGCCAGGTGGGCACATACACCGATCCGGGGCTCAGGACGAATCTGGCCAGAAGCGGTGGATGCGCATGGACCCCGTCGCCCAACATTCCCAAATTTTGGATACGCGGCAAGAGCAGCAAAACGTCCACGGGGAACGTCCACGGGGAGGGACGCATCAGCGGGAGCAGGTGGGAGCTTGAGCGCAGAAGGCAAGGCCGGGGGAGCCGGGAAGGAGTGCAGACGCGGGCGCGGGCAAGCGGGGATGGGCGAGCGCGAACCCGACGGGAGGGAGGAAACAGAGAAGAATGGGAGGAGCGAGGGAGCACGAATAGCGGACGGAGATTTGCACTCGGGCGAGAAACCCGTCCTCACTCTCGACCGGCAGGGAGATTGAGGGAAGGGGAGAGAGAAACGATGGGGGGAGAGAAGAGGAGACGGAGGAGGAGCTAGAAGAGGACGAACGACGTGGAACGGAGGGAAGAAAGGAGGATGAGTCAGTTGCTAAAAGGAACGCGGTTCCCGGCAACACTGGGGCACGATGATGCTGGCAATGCATCGGTCTCATCGATCACAATAGGTAACTCTGACATGCCTTCAACAAACCGATAATATGTATCAATGGATGCAAGAGAACAAGAGAAAATGAGGGACGACGACGAACCCTCTCCCTTTCAGCGCAATCGGCGGCGGGCCCGCAGTGTCCGCTGCTCGACCTTCTAGGCGAACAGTTGCGGCGGGCGGCGGCTGGGAGCGACCAGGAGGAGACGTTAAACAATTCCCCCCGCGGCGGGACTAGCAAGCCCAGGCTTTTTAGCCCACCACCGGGAGATCCTCGGTTTCCTGGACCCCCCGAAGCACACGCCCCCCCCCCCCCCCTAGCGTCAACCCCACAAACACTTTTACAACGCCAAGAGAGCGAGCGCCGATACTACCGTACAGTCCCCCCCAGAGGGAGGGCCGAAACGGACCGACGCATCCCATAAACAAACCCCTGTCGCGCCGCGGCGGCGGCCCACGCGCGCCGCCGCGGAGAGAGCGGACATCGGCAGCCGCGGCCAGGCCAACGCGCGGCGGCGGCGAGGGAGGAGATGGAGCAGCAGTGGAGGCACCGACTGAGTCGGTGGTCCCACTATGCGCATCATCAATACTTCCACGGTTGCTCAGGGGCTCGCTTCTGGGAGTCTGCCAGCTGAGCCAGTAGCGCCCGCATCTGCATTGAGCGCGGCACCTGTTGCACCCCTCGGCGACGGCACTGGCGGCGCAGGCCGCGGCTGCAATGTGCCCGTGGCCATGGCGCCTTGCGTCGGATCATCTGTGGATGCACCAGAATCGGCTGCTCTGGCAGCGGGAAATCCATTCCTCGCGAATTTGAACAGGATCCGGATGGCCATCACAGCGCTGCGCTGGCCATGATTCGCTATCAAGTGTTTGCAACATTCAGCAAGGTTGGCCCTGCACTGGCTCCATCCATTCGTCTTCAGATGAAGCCAATCATTGCAGCGTGCATTGGCCAGAGATCCGTGCGCATCGTGGGCTTAAGGCTGAGCGCCAAGTCCATGATCAGATCCGCGCATTTGACTGCCTCCCTTATCTTCTCGTCAAGCTCGGGCGCATACCTCGACTCTGCTCCTGCGTTTCCTGCGCGCGTGTCAACTGTTGCACTCCTGTCGGGGCTATGATGCACCGGTTGTTTGCGTGGGAATCCATTAGGCATTCCCGAATGATGTTCATGATGCAGAGAGGCAATTCATTGTCTGTACGTCCTTACCCCAGACAGAAGCCAACATATGGCCTGACAAACTCGCGCACCAAGAACAAGTCCTTCCTCGTCATCATCGACTCTTCTATCTTGCTGCATCAGATGGAAGGGGCCGAACGGTCATTCATTATCCCTGGGTGCGCGGCTGATGTGGGGGCCCGTGGTGAGGATTCAGCTCGTTGCCTTGCGGTTTGTTTGTTGTCGCGGTCCCACCAGCGACCCGTCCGCGACCCGCCCCGCGACCCACCCGCCGACCCACCCCGCGACCCGCCCCGCGAACCGCCCCGCGACCCGCCCGCGACCCGCCCCGCGACCCACCCGCGACCCACCCGCGACACACCCGCGACCCACCCCGCGACCCACCTGCGACCCACCCCGCGACCCTATGGCGACCCTATGGCGACCCAGCCGCAACCCACCCCGCGACCCACCTGCGACCCACCCCGCGACCCACCCGCGACCCACCCCGCGACCCACCCCGCGACCCAACAGCGATCCACCCGCGACCCAGCCGCGACCGAGCCGCGACCCATCTGCGACCCACCCGCGACCTACCCATAGTGGTTCATGGCGCCTTCGGCGGGCTCGTTGTATACTTTGTGAAACTGTGGCGCCTGCGGCGGGCTTCTCCAGAGTCTCGCAGACTGCCGCCGCCCCCGCCGCCCCCTCACTCTTATCCGCATCTGCGGGGCACCACGGCAACATGAGATGCAACCCTTATAAATTCACCCTTGGAGGTCTTGACAGCGATTTCCGCGTGGGGGTAATTCGACAAGCCCGCTCCCTCCATGACTAACGTTATCGCAGAGGGGCGTCTCGCGTCTTCTCCCAAGGTCTTGATTTTGTCAAATCATATTGGTATTCACGACGTTGGATTGAAAGGCCTCTGCGGTCTCTCCGTCTTTGTTGGTTTGGTCCCTCAAATGAATGGATTATGGGCCTTCTTCGCACGGGAAGTCAGGCTTGTCCACATATTCATTGTTGACAAATTGGTCGGTTGGTCCCAGCTCCGGCAATTACGCTTGCTTTTTGTCAGATCCTTTTTTGTTGCAAATAAATTGCGCCCGAAGTCACGCGGGGTCGGTTCTTCAAGGTCTTCGCAGTCGCGACGGGAAGTTTAATGCAATCGTATGGATCATCAGCAACTTAAGACTGAGCCTGTTCCCTCATTGCTTACGTAGCTTTTTCATTGGAATTCGCCCACCAACCACGTGGCAGTGGGAGGAGCAGTTGCGTCCGCTTGTAAACTCCCCTCCCGTCGTCCCCGTCCGATCGCTGGCTCAATTTGCTCATCTCCAGCATCTGGCCGAATGAATGCACTGAGCGGTGCGCGTGTCACGGTTGTCTCAGTCGGATCAAATTCCTCCGCGCTACCGGCCACCATTCGGTCGCCCTCGTGTCGTCTTGTCTCCGAACGTTGAACAAGATGCGCCTCTGCTTGAGGGGCTCCAAGAAACGGAAATATGGTTTTTTACCGGGACGGAAGCTTCTCGTTCGCCTGTTCGGCGTTCTACGAGGGAATAGATCCCGGCCCCTTGGCAAGGAAAGTGAAGCCAGACCGTGATTTTGAGAGCCTCAAAACAAGAATCTCGCACCACTGTGTCTTGCGCTAATAATATCACCTCAGATTGGAAACGGCCTTTTGTGAGAAACTGTTTTGCCGGTTCCGTCTCTCTGCAAGCTCAAACGTCGCAGGCCCATCCGTCATCATACTCTGGAGTCCTTTCTCCTGGAGACAGCGTCCATCTTGCAAATCGATTGCGGTTCATGTACGTTCGGTCCTTCAAGAGCCCCCACAAAAATTCATCACATTCCGTGCAGACACGCATCCCCGAACGGAAAGTGTGCAACGCTGCACAGACATATCTTCCGTCATCCGCCCATGGCCGATCATCGTGGGAACCATCTGGCAAGAAGAATTTCTCGCCCGACGGAAAGAGAGCTGCGATAATCAAAAGCACTCTCTTTACCAATCCGTGTGTGTTCCTATTCTTTTTCCCAACAATCCTGTGATGTTGGGTCATCGTTTTGAAGAGACGGTCCCCGCGTCCTCCTCTCCTCTCCTCTCCTCCTCTCCTCTCCTCCTCTGCTCCTCTCCTCTTCACCCACCCAGTACACCGTTTCGTGTCCCCATAGGGAGCCCCACCGAAGGCCCCAGTGCTGCCGCCCGCATGCGTCCCGCACACCAAATTCGGCACACCCCTCACACGTTTCGTGGCCCCATCAAGAGCCCCACCGAAGGCCCCTGTGCTGCCGCCCGCATGCGTCACCCACACCCAATTCGGCACACCCCTCACACGCTTCGTGGCCCCATAGGGAGCCCCACCGAAGGCCCCAGTGCTGCCGCCCGCATGCGTCCCGCACACCCAATTCGGCACACCCCTCACACGTTTCGTGGCCCCATAGGGAGCCCCACCGAAGGCCCCAGTGCTGCCGCCCGCATGCGTCACCCACACCCAATTCGGCACACCCCTCACACGTTTCGTGGCCCCATAGGGAGCCCCACCGAAGGCCCCAGTGCTGCCGCCCGCATGCGTCACCCACACCCAATTCGGCACACCCCTCACACGTTT